CTGAAGATTGTTGCAAGGGAGGGGGGGGCTTGTCCCCGGAGCCTTCTCTGGAAAGACTGCACTGAGGGACAGGGCTTGGCCTTGGATGATGTGGGGTTGTTGACTTTGACCCAGAGGCTCCAGGTTTTGGCAGGGACTTCGTGCATGTCCCAGTTTTCTTGGCCCTGAAGTGGGGAGGCATTGCCCTAAATTGGCCCTGTGGTTGATATTTAGCATCTTGGGCAGCAGGCCAGCTCCCAAAACAGTGTCCTGTGTCCTGTCGCTCCTTAAAACATCAGTGGAGTTTGAGATTTGGTTAGCTTGGGTCCTGAGCAGTATTCCCTGAACCCATAACCCTCTGAACCAGGCGCCTAACCCACCTGGGATCCAGAATGCAGATCAGCGAACCAGCCATGGTTTGCCGAGAACTCACTCATCCAGTGAGCAGGTGTGCAGAGGGGGCCGTGGCTGCTGCAGCGTGTGGCGCTGCTTTCTGGAGCTCGGGCTGCAGGCCACCAGAGACATTGAAGTCAGCCACCTGGCCAACCTGCCATCTGTACCCGAAACTCGGCCTCCGTGGAAAAGTTTGGTTGGGGTTGGTTGGTTGGTTTTTAATTGGGAGCATTTTCTTTTCTTTTTTTGAGAAATGCACTTTATTTTTTTAAGGTTTTATTTATTTGAGAGAGAGTGCACAAGAGGGGGGAGGGGCAGAGGGAGAAGCAGACTCCCCGCTGAGCAGGGAGCCCGATGTGGGACTCGATCCCAGGACCCTGGAATCATGACCTGAGCCGAAGGCAGACGCTTAACCGACTGAGCCACCCTGGTGCCCCAGGAACATTTTCAAACACCTATTTGGCATACCTATCATCCAATTCAACAATTATTAACATTTAGGCACTTTTGCTCCAGCTAAATTAAGTTACAGGATATGATGTCATTTTGCTTCTACATATCCAGTGTACATCTCTAAAGAGTATGGACATTTTCTGCACAACCACAATGCTGTTCTCATATCTTACAAGATTAATGAAACCTTTGGTTGTTGCTTTTGTGCATGTGTTGTGCCAGAGAGCTGTTTATTTTAAAGTATCAGAGGTATCTCTCTCTCAAATAAATAAATAAAATCTTTTTTAAAAAGGGTGGGGGGGTGCGTGAGTAGCTTGGTCAGTTAAGTGTCTCCCTTTGACTCAGGTCATGATCTCAGGGTCCTGGGATCAAGTCCTGTGTAGGGCTCCCTGCTCAACAGGGAGTCTGCTTCTCCCTCTCCCTCTTCCCCTCCCCCTGCTTGTGCACTCGCTCTCTCTCAAATAAATAAAATCTTTTAAAAAATAAAATAAAAAAATAAAGTGTCAGAGGTAAACTGTGTGTGGATTCAGAACCCAGCTAAGGGGATTGTGGGGCAGAGCCTCCTTCCAGTTTAGGTGAGCCGGAACTGGTTTGGTGCCTCTCACACTGAACCAGCAGCTGAAAACCACCTAAGTTAGGAATCGGAGTAAAACTACTTAGGACATCACTGTTTGTTTGTTTTTTAAGATTTTATTTATTTATTTGATGTAGACACAGCAAGAGAGGGAACATAAGCAGGGGGAGTGGGAGAGGGAGAAGCAGGCTTCCCGCCAAATAGGGAGCCCGATGCGGGGCTCAATCCCAGGACCCTGGGACCATGACCTGAGCCGAAGGCAGATGCTTAACGACTGAGCCACACAAGCGCCCCAGGACATCACTATTAAAGGCCAAGGACATCACTGTTAAAGGCCTAGTCCCTGGACTAGCCAGACCATGCTGGTCACCAGTTGGTGGGCACCAACAGCCCACATTAATGGGCAGTTCTTCTTCAGTTCCTAGCCCTTTGCCATCAGCAGCTCATTCCAGCCTCAGCACTGTCCTGTTGGGCCTGACCCTCTCTATTTTAGAGGGGACTCAGAGCCTGGCTAACGAAGGGTGAGCCAGATACAAGACCAGGCTCAGTGTCTGATTCCATCCCTTTTGTGGAAGAAGGCAGGGTTACCCTCCCTTTGGGTGTTGTGCAGAAACCTCCAGGGGAGCAGTACTTTGTACCTGAATGTGAAGTGCCAGGGTCCATCCTGCTCTTGGTGGGCGAACCCCTCTAACCCGTACACTCATATTCTGTGGGACAAAACAGCCCTTGGCTCGGGCTAACTGGGGAACCACATCCTATCCAGTGACTGCTAGGATATATTTTGGACAGAGATGACTCATAAAACTCAGGACTTGCCATTTTTTGGTTGACCAATCCCATGTCCCAAGAGGTGGCTGGCCACTTGAGAGGCATGAGGTCCCTAAGGTCACACCAGCACGTTCTGGGCCACAGGCCGCATCCTGGATACCAACAAGGACGTGGGCTGGAGTGGGCGGCCATAGGTGGGGGTGCTGAGCCCTGGAACGGCCCCACTGTTCAGGAACCAAATAGTGGAGCTGTTGTTGACCCAGAGATCAGGCTGGACGGGGTCTTGTTTTTGAAGTTGCATCCCAAGAAAGAAGAAACACCAAGCAACATGGGAAGATCAGATTTGCCTAGATTGAGGGTAGTTTCTGTTGTTTGGTTGGTGTTTCAGTTTTGTTTTGTATTTGGAACTAAGAACTTAAATATAGCCCAGCAGCTGGGGCCTACCCTATCCCAGCAGGCCTCTCACTTTAACTTTTGTGATGGCTGTGTCCCTTGTTTTGTCAGCACAGCTGGCTGTCTCTGCCCTGCCCAGAAAGAGGCTTTTGTCTAGGTCAGCTTAGCTTTCAGGGGTTCCATCAAGATCTCGTATCCAGAGACCAGCTCTGTCCCCTTCTAAGTGATAGGTCTCTAGCAGGGCTCCTTCGTAAGGTCGAGTTGGTACCTCAGCTGCTGCCTGACCCTGGACCCATGGGGGCCCACCAGTCCTCAAGCAGGAACAAACCCTTGTCATGATGAGCACCCCATTCTGTCCCCCTCAGAGCCCCGGGGGAGGGCACCTTACGCTGTGGGGCAGGCCACGGGAGGGGTCCCCACCTTGCAGACCCCACATAGGCAGTGCGCAGGCACTTGGCTGAAAACATGGAGGGAGGAGGAGAAAGCGGGTCCCTGCTCATTTCAGCTGTTGAGCCAGTGCTGTGCAGAGGGACGTGTCAAGGTGACATGGTCCCCGCCACTGGGAGTTTGGCATGTGCTGGAAAGACAGAACCCAGTGTGGCCACAGAGCTCCTGCAGTACGTCCACCTCCTCCTGCCCACCTCCTGACTGCTCAGCCCACGTGGTCCTAGGGGGCTGCCAGCCCACGAGCGGCCCTCACAGGAACCCTTCTTGCTGAGTAGAGCCTTCTGGGGTTGCGCCCAGGGCTTAGAGGCTGAGCATCTGCCTCGCCATCCCAGTGGTCAAGCCTCGAGGTGGATTTCAGCCCCTGGCAGCTGGCACATTAGGACATGACCTTCCCAGGGACCCTCCCGGAGACACCTGAAGTTTCATGGGAACAAGGCACTAACGATGCCAGGGCAGTCCGAGCAGGTGACCTTGAAGGATTGTCACAGGCACTTACTTGGGCTGGCTGAGTGGTCAGGGCTGAACATCCGGGTCCCCAAGACCTTTGGGTGTCGCCGGGATAATCTCGGTGCACACTCACAGAACTGGTTTCTGGATTAAGCTCAGGTCAGTAGGTGATGACCAGCCTCTCTGGGGTCCTGTCACCCCCAACATTTGTTATGAAAAAGTTCGAACATGCAGAGAAGTTGAATGTGTGGGCAGTAAGTTCCTGTATTGTGTCTTATCTGCCACCTGGATCCAGTGGTGAATAGCATTTTGTCATGTTTGCTTCCTAAGTAGTTGTATTGTCTTGAAACATTTAGTTTCAGACCTCACAATGCCTCACTCCCAAGACTTCCTACATAATTACACACTTCCTTGTCCAGTACCATCAGTAACAGCTTCGTAACATCATCTGCTGTCTAGCCTGTGTTTACATTTCCCCAGAAGGTTATTTTGACTTGTTCTTTTTCCCATTGGGGGTTTACACATCACAATCGGTAGTAGATCTCCTCGCCTCTTTTAGTTTACTTTTTTTCTTTTTTTTTCTTGACCTTGATCTTTTGAAGAAACCAGGCCAGTTGTCCTGTAGAATGCCCCTCCTTCCGTGTTTGGTGGGCATCATGGTGCCCTTGAACTGAAGCCTGTGTGCCTTTAGGCCTGGAGGCTTGATTGGGTCCGCGCCCAGCATTTTAGGTGGAACCCTGGGTGATTAGCGTATTTCACATCGCGGTTAGAGGCTGGGCTGGCCGGGCTGCTGGACCTGGGTTGGCAGGTTCCGCTTTCTCGTAGTCAGTAAATCCTGGGGGTGCAGGTGCTTTGTGGGAGCCCAGCCTTTCCACCTGCCTTCCTTCAACTAAAACAAAGAGGCTGCTCCAGCAGCCTGGACTGAACATACTCTCCTGATGTAGAAGAGTTGTTAGCAGGGCGCCCGCCCCGCTCTCAATCTCAGGGTCATGAGTTCAAGCCGCACGTTGGGCGTGGAGATTGCTGAAAGAAAAATAAGAATGCAGGATCTTTTATAAAATAAATAAATAAATAATATATTTTTAAATATAAAAGTTATTAAAAACTCATGACCCTTGATTTGAACTTTGGCGTGTCTCATAGTCTCTCTTCCTGCCCATGAGTCTTTGTCCGCTGGCTGGGGGAGGAGGAGCAGCCTAGCCAGCTAGCGCCACTTCTGCTGAAATCCAGCCCAACCGTGGCCCCCCCCCAGGCTGCCCCAGGGGGGACCCAGGTCGGGAGACATCGGGATGTGGGGCAGAGTGGGGGCGGTGCTCTCTGCAGCGGCAGAGAAACACAGAGAAACAGCATCGGGAGTGAGATGCGAGACCAGCCGGGGAGGAGCCGGGCTGGGGCGGGGCACCCCATTTCCTCGTCTGCAGTGTGGGGGCGACTGCCACCTGTGCCTTGGGGCTGTTGTGAGAGACAGACACACTTGATGCGGGTACTGAGGAGACGTCCGTCCATGGGGGACCATACTAGCTTCCCTGTCTTGCCTGCCTCACAGGTTAGCATGAGGAGGAGGTAGCGTGCGGTGACAGTGCCCGGTGGGCTGGTGAGGGGGAGCGGCTGCCCTCCTGACGCCGCCTCCCTCCCTGCAGGTGTGAATGACAGAGGTGGTGCCGTCCAGCGCCCTCAGCGAGGTCAGCCTACGCCTCCTCTGCCACGATGACATAGACACCGTGAAGCATTTGTGCGGCGACTGGTTCCCCATCGAGTAAGTTGAGCAGCACCCACTGTCCCAGCTGCAGCTCGGCGGGGTGGGAGGCGAGGCTGGGGGGGTGGGACACACGTAAGTGCCGGTGCTGGAGCCAGAAGACTTGCTGTGACAGCCAGCGTGGCCTGGAGGTGCCGTGGTGGCCCAGGGTCACCTTGCCTACTGTTGGACCCGAGGCCTCGGGCCTTGGCTACCATCAGCCTCTTTCCACCTCACCGCATCCCTCGTGCAGAGAGTTCCCCAGAAGGCCTTTCCTGAGAGTCTTTAGTTGAAAAGATGTTCAGTGCAGTGCTATTGATAATTCAGAAAATTGAGAAGCAGCTTAAGTATCTTAACAGTGAGGACTTGGTTCCATACATTGGGGTATGTGCCTGCAAAGGCTTGTTATTCAGCCAGGGGGATAGAAATCTGTTGAAGAGGTGTATTTGTTGATAAGGATTTTTTTTAATGAGATAATAAATGGGAAAAGTAGACTAGAAAACAGTGTGTATCCCAGGCCTGCTTTTATTTATTTATTTACTTATTTTTAAGATTTTATTTATTTACTTGACAGCAGGAGAGCACAAGCAGAGGGAGAGGGAGAAGCAGGCTCCCCACTGAGCAGGGAGCCCGATGCGGGGCCTGATCCCAGGACCCTTGCAACAAGACCCAAGCCAAAGGCAGCCGCCTAATCTACTGAGCCACCCAGGCGCCCCTCAATCCTGCTTTTATTTAAAAACATGTACAAGAGGGGCGCCTGGGTGGCTCAGCCGTTAAGCGTCTGCCTTCGGCTCAGGTCATGATCCCAGGGTCCTGGGATTGAGCCCCGCATCAGGCTCCTTGCTCCGCAGGAAGCCTGCTTCTCCCTCTCCCACTCCCCGTGCTTGTGTTCCCTCTCTCGCTGTCTCTCTCTTTGTCAAAAAATAAATAAAATCTTTAAATAAATAAATAAATAAAAACATGTACAAGATAAAAGCTTATGAGGTTATATTCCATGTAGCAGGGTGTTTTTAGTAGTTTGAGGTGGGCAGATTATTAGCAGTTAGAATTTTGTCTGTTTTGCTTCCGTAATAGGCACATACAGCTTTTGTAGTGGGAAAAATAGATGCTGGCTTTTTTTTTTTTTTTTAAAGATTTTATTTGTTTATTTGACAGAGAGAGACACAGTGAGAGAGGGAACACAAGCAGGGGGAGTGGGAGAGGGAGAAGCAGGCTTCCCGCCAAGCAGGGAACCCGATGCGGGGCTCGATCCCAGGACCCTGGGACCATGACCTGACCCGAAGGCAGACGCCTAATGACTGAGCCACCCAGGTGCCCCAGATGCAGGCTTTTTATTTTACAAACTGGCAGTTATAAGATAAAGAAGTACTGGGGTGTAATGAACAACATGCCAACTACAGTGAACACTGCTGTATATGTTATATGTAGGAAGCTGTTCATATAGTAAATCCTGAGTTCTCATCACAAGAATTTATTATTTAAAAAAAAAAACTTGTAAAAATGAACTAGATACTGCCAAGCCTCGTATTTCTATGAGTCCTGACCTCAGACTGGTGGTTTAATCTGTTGCAGGCCGGGAGGGAGGAGACAGGCGAGCCTCACGGCTCTGGTGGGATCCTAGGGATGTGGGCCAGTGGCGGCTTTACGGGCCATAGAGGGGCCCGTATGTGCCCAGTATGTGCTCGGATAAGACCCAGTTGAGGCGCCTGCACCCGGTAGAGTCCCGCGGGGCCGTAGCCTCTGCCTCCTGAGGCGCCCGGCCTGCCTGCCTCTCGTCACAGCTTCCTACGCCGAGGCCTCAGGTTCCAAAGGTGGTGGAATGAACTGCAGTCCCATGGGCTGTGTGGTGGCAGCTCCGTGTCGTGGCTGCCATGCCAGCTGACCCTCTGGGGTAGTGTGAGGAGGACCAGGGAGGGAGTGCAGGTGATACTCAGGCCCTGTAGAACCTTCTGGTGAGTGGTCAGTGGCCGCTGTGGAGCAGAGCCGAGTAGAGGACCTGTCTGCTACGTCACCGAGAGGGTATGGTGCCCTCCCCCAGCTCTTGGTCTCAACAAGGCATCTCAGGCTAACCTATTACGTCTACCCCAAGCTAAAAAACAAGCCCACACGCCCCTAGGCCCCGAGTGCCCCTGCCCTCCTGACCATGTCTCCTGGCTGTGGTGAGTCTGCCTTTCGTTACTGTCCAGGGGCTTTGCACTAAATGTTCTCTTCCTGCTCCCCTGAGTGAGGGGTCTTGGTGAATAGCCCCTAGCAACCCTAGCCACACCCTGCCCTCGAAGCCTTGTCCCCATCTCTGCCCAGGGAGGTGCAGTGAACTCAAATGCCACTCAGCTGTGAACTTGGCTCTCCCCACACCCCCAGTCTTCAGAAGGACTCACAGAATTCTTGGAAATCACCCAGGTCTATGGGCTATCAAGGGCCATCAGTCTTGACTCATCCAGCTATCCAGCTGTCCCTCTACTTCCTGCTCTCGTCAAGAGAATGTCATCAGAGATTTTTTTTTCTCTCATCTCTCAAAAAATGATAGTAAAATTATTTTTCCCATCAGAAATTCCCAGTCCCGGGGCACCTGGGTGGCTCAGTCGTTAAGTGTCTGCCTTCGGCTCAGGTCATGATCCCAGGGTCCTGGGGATTGAGCCCTGCATCAGGCTCCCTGCTCTGCAGGAAGCCTGCTTTTCCCTCTCCCACTCCCCCTGCTTGTGTTCCCTCTCTGGCTGTCTCTCTCTCTGCAAATAAATAAAATCTTTTAAAAAAAATTTTGTATAAAAAAAAAACGAAATTCCCAGTCCCGTCTAGGGGCTCCTAGGTGGCTCAGTCAGTGAAGTGTCCGACTCTTGGTTTTGGCTCAGGTCATGATCTCTGGGTCGTGAGATCAAGCCCTGCGATGGGCTTCGCACTCGGAGTCTGCTTGAGTTTCTCCCTCTCCCTCTGCCCCTCCCCCCCAAAATAAATAAATAAACCTTAAAAAACCCCACACATTTTTAAGAAATTCCCAGTCCCATCTAGACAGATTACTGCTTTGAGAAGACCCTTTGGTGTAGGCTGAGTGGTGGACAGACTCCTTATCAGCCGTGGAACAGTGGGCAGGGTGTGGTTCCACTGTGAAGCCCCACATTAGTTGAGCTTGACCTTTGGGGGTTCACCTCAGTTTGTTCTCCTCAGGTACCCAGACTCATGGTATCGTGATATCACCTCCAACAAGAAGTTCTTTTCCCTCGCCGCAACCTACAGGGGTGCCATCGTGGGAATGATAGTAGCTGAAATAAAAAGTAGGACCAAGATACACAAGGAAGTAAGTATGTGTGGCAAGGAGTTGGTGGTCCCTGTCGCTGCACAGGCCTGCGGGGGCTTGCAGCCAAATCACGCTGCCTGCTCTGTGGCCCTTTCTCCTTGCAGCCCAGACCGATTATGAGACTCATACCCAGTTGGTTTCTTTCTGGGTGTAGGTGATACAGTTAGACAAATTGAACAAGAGACCTAGCTGCAGGCTGTCATTTTAAAGTAGGGAGGAGTTAAAAAACCCCAAAACACAAAGTAGGGAGGAGTGTAAATGATACTGAGAACCCCCAAAGTTGTCAAGGGCTCTGGGAAGATCAGTGATTTGTAGAAACTACTAATGGTGCTGTGGTTGGTTGAAGGACACGCTAGGTTCCAGTTAGGGGTTAGTGAAGATGGAGATACAATTTCTTTTCATCCAGCTTCACAGACCTCTCCGAGATCTATGTTGGAGCTCCTAAGAGTCTGTGGCCCTACATCAGCAAGCTCTGCTCTGAGTATAAAATAAAATGAGAGGTCACGGCCACAGACACATTGTTCCGTGTGGTTGTCTTGGGTCAAGATTCTGCCCAGTAATTTTGGTCATCTTCGCGACTGAGTAGTGTTTATCATGTGGGTGTTTACTCCAAGGACAGGAAAAAACCCACTCACAACTGGCAGCAGGTTCTATCTGCTCAGCTTCAGGTTATTTCTTTAAAAGTACAAGAAGAACATCGCCCTTTGAAAGACCCGACCCGCTCAAGTATACCCCATTTTGCCCGTAATTAGATTCTGGCGAAGGTAGTTTCTTTTAAGAGTGACTTTCTGTCCCAGCTTCCTGCTGAGGTTTTTTCTTCCACTTCATCTCGCATGGTGGTCAGATTTGGGAGCCCCCCCAGGCCGGAACTCCCATCTCCAGAACCGCACGGCAGGCACAGGGCGGCGTGGGGCAGAGCTCTGCCTGGTGTGGGCAGCACAGGGCGGTGAGGCCGCTCAGGCCCCCACTTCCTTTGCTCAGAGACCACCTGGGGGCAGCGTAGGATCCTTGAGGCAAACCTTTTCAAACTTTGTCTCGTCCTGGGTGTCCAGTACGTGTCCATGTGGCACAGTCGCTTCCCCGTTACTGCTCTGCCTTCGACCCTTGTCAGGTCCACCACACAGCCCCAAGAGGAGTGACATTCTGACAAGAGGAGCGACATTCTGTGTGTGTCCTTAGTTTAGCCATTTGTGCCACAAGGACCTGCACCCTGTCGTTTCCGTGTGGGTGTGGGTGTCTGTGGGACTGACTCTCCATTATCCTTTGCTCTGTCCCCTCCCGCCCCAGCCCCACCCCATGTGTTGTGGTCAGGGAGTCCGTGGGTGGGATGTGCCCTGCGGTGGTACCAGGAGCCTCAACCGTTAACATGCCTTTATGTCTGACTTTTCCTTCAGGACGGAGATATTCTAGCCTCCAACTTCTCTGTTGACACGCAGGTTGCGTACATTCTAAGTCTGGGAGTAGTGAAGGAGTTCAGGAAGCACGGCATCGGTAAGGGGCGCTGAGCTTGTGGGGTTTGGCACATGTGCTCCAGCCACCATGTCCGGTCATTTCCCACGTGCTGATGACCAGCCCCTAAGTGTCCCTCGTTCCCCTGGCCTGCGGGGACGTTCAGCCTCCCGCCCCTCCTAGCAGCTCTCCCTGCCCCACCTCCACTCTGTTGGCCGTCCGCCTGTGCTCTTTGCACCCATCGTCAGGTCTCTAGGCAGTGGCCTCATTCCCAAATCTGACTTGATCAGATTCATAACGCTCCCAGATGTCCTGGTCAGGGAATGGGCACCTCTCACCACACCTGCCGCCGCACACATGGCTTATGTTTGGTCACAAGGTGTTCTTGATTAATAATAGAAAACATAATTGAAAAACAGTCCCAGGGATGCCTGGGTGGCTCAGTCGGTTAAGTGTCTGCCTTCAGCTCAGGTCATGATCCCCAGGGTCCTGGGATCGAGTCCCGCATCAGGCTCCCTGCTCTGCGGGAAGCCTACTTCTCCCTCTGCCTGCCACTCCCCCTGCTTGTGCTCTCTCTGTCTCTCTCTCTCTCTCTTTCTCTGACAAATAAATAAATAATTTTTTTTTAAAGATTTTATTTATTTATTTGACAGAGACAGAGACAGCGAGAGCGGGAACACAAGCAGGGGGAGTGGGAGAGGGAGAAGCAGGCCTCCCACCGAGCAGGGAGCCTGATGCAGGGTTCGATCCCAGGACCTGGGATCATGACCTGAGCCGAAGGCAGACGCTTAACGACTGAGCCACCCAGGTGCCCAAATAAATAAAATTTAAAAGAAAAAGAAAAACAGTCCCAGCTGCCATTTATCAGATGCCCGTTGCACGCAGGGAGCTGTGCCCCAGGCCTATCTCCAAGTCCCTCCACTCTGCCACACAGCCAGCAGGCAGCAGTCTTCCTGAGTGACCCAGGCCTGTCTGTCCTACCTTTTCCTGAGCTCACATTTGCTCTTTCTGTTGTGGGAAAGGTTAGTGAGTCTCCACCCCTGGCCCAGCCCCTGCCAGGGAAGTACCTGGCCCCCGTCTGTGGTTCCAGATGCCCGATGGTGTGCAGCAGATGAGCCCCATCTGACCATGGGATTTTAGGGGCTCTGACAGGGTGGTTATGGGAGTTCCATCTTTGATACAATGGCAGGGAGATCTGTAGAGATGTCTGGCAAGGTCACTTCCTTGTCTGCTTCATGCTCCCTGCCTGTCTGTCCTGCCGTGTGACTGTCGCCCCTTCTCCTGCAGGTTCCCTTTTACTTGAGAGTTTAAAGGATCACATATCAACCACCTCCCAGGACCACTGCAAAGCCATCTATCTGCACGTCCTCACCACCAACAACACAGCAATAAACTTCTACGAAAACAGAGACTTTAAGCAACATCACTATCTCCCCTATTACTACTCCATCCGAGGGGTCCTCAAAGATGGCTTCACCTATGTCCTCTACATCAACGGCGGCCACCCTCCCTGGACAATCCTATATCCTTTACTTCTCAGGGGTGAGGGATGTGGCTTCCCAGCCACAAGGGTGACTCGTAGGGTCATGGCCCATGTGCCAGATGGAGCCGCGTTGCCTTCACATGATTCATGAGGCCAAGCCCACGGGACATGTTTTTCCTGACCAGATGGTGTTGTGGGTAGATCTGGTTGTACTCAGTGTTCCTCAGACTTCACTGGCATGAGGTGTGGGTTTTAACCCTCTTGGCCAACAATCCACCTGTCCAACAAATACCGATTGAGAGCCTCCTGTTCGAGGTGCGCAGGAGAGACACTGTGAACCCAACAGATGGGTCCCCTGCCCTCAGAGGGCCTTGTGCCGCCTGGGGAGAAGACACACCAGCGGGATGAAAAGAATTGCTTGCCTTTGGGAGTGCTTGGGTTCAGACCTCCCTTTCCTGAGGCACCAGAGCTGTGTCCCTCCCCTGCTCCCTCTTTAACCCTCTCTGGGCTGGAACAGGAAGAAGGGAGGCCAGGAGACTTCCTGATAGAGGGTGTGGCCCCAGACACTGAGAGTGAGCGAGCTAGGAGTGAACTGAGTGAGGCTAGGATTTAGCCATGTCACGGGAGTAAACAGGAGGCAGAAGCCTGGCCCCAAACCCTGCAGGCCTCCCAGTCCCTGTGAAGATGGGACCCCCCCCCACCTTGTCCCAGGGACGGGGCCCTGCCATTCTAATGACCGAGTATGGGAGTGACCTGGGAATGCTTGCTCTTCCAGCAGACCGGTCGCCCTGGTCCCCAGTCCCTGTCCATCAGCTTTGGTCCAGGTGTCCTTGTGCCTGAGGCCTCGCCCAGAAGGTCCTTTTGTACCGCGTGCCACCCTTGATTATTTTGCACAGCGGAGGTCCCTCCCGCTAACAAGGCTTTCCAGCGCTCCACGGAGGCTTGGCAGGCTTTGGGGCTCTTTCAGAAATGGTGTGACATGTGCACGCAGCCCTGCAGATGACCATGTGGGCCCCTGCTGACCGTGCCATCCAGGGGTATGTGGGCAGGCGAAGCGAGTCAGAGTCAGAGTCTTCCTTAACGATGCCCCACGGACTACATTCAGCACCTGGGCTCCGCGCTAGCAAACCTGAGCCCCTGCTCCATCCCGCACAGGATCTACCGCCAGGCCCACAGCCTGCTCTGCAGCTTCCTGCCGTGGTCCGGCATCTCCACCAAGGGTGGCATTGAGTATAGCCGGACCATGTGACACCAGCCGGCCAGCCGCCATCAAGCCCCACCCTTTGGCACCCTGTAGAACCCGCCTTCCTGGCCATCTGACTTCTGTTGTCTGCGAAGTTGCTGGTCGCCCCTTGCCTGGCCTGTCGGCCTGCCGCAGCTGCAGGCCCGGTGCTATGTGGGCTTGGAGCAGAGCGTCGCAGGGCACACCTGGTCTGACAGGTACGCTGGAGCAGGTGGTGTGGGGAAGAGGGGAGCAGAGCCCAGCGGGATGATGGTACCAAGTAATGAAGCCCGTGGCACACTCAGCCATAAAAACAGAAGGGCCTGAATGGGTACTTGCTGCACCAGGGTGTTGGGAAATAGTACCAAGAGCTGAGGTAGCCTGACTGACTTTCAGAAACTTCAGGAAGGAAAACAGAGTCCTTGAGCACTTGGCCAGACTTCTGTCTCTTCACTTCCTGAACTGCATGTTAAAAAAGGATGCATTCACATGGTTCAGAAATGGAGAAGGTACCAAAAGATCAAGCCCCGGCCCCAGCCACTCAGCTGCCTTCCTGAGGGGCTTCTGATGCTGCTGCGTCATGGCCGAGCTTCCAGGTCCGCTGAAACAGCAGCAGCTTGGGGCAGGTGCCTGGTAGACCAGAGCTCTGCTCAGATGCGGCCACTTGTGAGTGCCGTGTGTGCCACAGGGGGCTGATCTCAGACTTCCACGCCACAAGGGGTCATGGGGACCTCAAGGCCCACCCCCTGGTGCACGGACATAGCCCAAAGCAGTTTGGCGGTGGGGGTCACTCACACAGCGGCACTCCATGACCATCTGGGCTGGAATCCCCCCATCTGTGCCTTGATTTGTGCAGGGACTGGGAGGGACTCTGGGCCTGGAGGGCTTGTGCTCCAGGCTAGGTTGTGCAGGCTAGCGCAGGACATCTCCTGGGAACCTTCATCCCTGCTCCCTTCTTTCCCGCAGGCTCTTCCAGCCCTCCTTCCTTTTCTGGTAACCTCCGGAAACCGCCGCCTCTGCCTGCACCCTGGTCCCGCCTCCAGGAGCGTGTACCAGCCCCACTGGCCGGCTGGGGTGTGGCGGGATTCACTGTGGTCTGTTTCTTCCTCTGCCCCCTTCCCCTCCACTGCCCATTCCTTCTAGCTCCTTCCTCCAAAGCCGTAATGAACTTTTGCTGGAAGGGAGGAACCCAAGTGTTATGGACAGACCTCACCCTAAAGACAGAGGAGCCTCAGAACAATGAGGGGGTGAAATAAAGGGAATGCCAGATCCTTATCCAAAACCAGCCCACAGAATCCTGGGGTGTGAGAAGCCCCTACCTCTCTGTGAGGGGCTGTCGCGTGGTGGGCAGAGCCTGGAGGCTTTTCACCCCAGCACAGAGCTCTGGGACTTAGACCCTGACATGGGAGGTCCAGTCTTCCAGTGGCTTCCTGCTGAGGGCTTCCTGCTGTCCTGGGGAGAATGGAACTGCCCATCAGATGGCAGAGGTTGGCTCAGCTGAGCTGCCCCCAGGAGCTGGACTGAGGACGGGTGCCAGTGAAGTTCCCGGGGGTTCCCTCCCCACCTCCCCAAGTCCATGAGCTGCAGCTCCAAGATGCAGACAGGAGGAAGCTGAGAGTGCTCTCGATGGAGTGGGGCCCCACCTTTGGGGTGGGGGGCTGTCACGTGCTGTGCGGCCCCTGAGTCCCCAGGGGCAGAGACAGGAGAGGCCGTCAGTGCCAGGAAGTGTGCGTGCGAGCATCACTCGCTTCTGGCGTCACCCTCACCCCCGTTCCCCAAAGCTGCTTGCTGTCTGCCCTGCCCTCCGGAGTAGAGGGCTGGGCGGCAGAGTCATGCCCGGTGTTGCTGCAGTGTCTCGGAGCCATGGCCACGGCGCACCAGCCTGAGGGCAGGAGGAGAAGGGGAAGCAACTGGGCAGGGGGCCGGAGTGACTGCCATGCTTCCCTCCCTCAGAACTGCCCAGCCTGGGGCCGCCTCCACCCTCGGAGTGGGAGAAAGGTGTTCCCAAGAGGAGGGCAAGCCCTCGGCCGGAGGAGCACTTTTCCTCCTTCGACCGCCTCCTGACTGGTGGTGCCTCTCGGGGAGAGGTCTGGGTCTCGCTGACCTGTCCCCACCTCTGCACTGACCTTGGCGTCATGCTGAGGCCCAGCCTGATGTTCTCTCTCATCTGAATCAACGGTGATTGTGTGATTTTTATTTCTGCCCCGAGGGGTAAGGAAGAGTCTTCTGGAAGGTTTTGCCTTGGACATTCATAATTGAGCTCAGAGGCCTCGCCCTGCCCCTCCCTCCCTGCCCTCAATCACTGCAGTGTCCAGCCCAGCGTTGAACAGATTGTAATGTTTGTCTCATTACAAATAAACAGACTTTAATTGGTCACATCGTGTCTTTCCAGTGCCGGCCCGCCACGCTTTGGGCTCTACCCCAGTGGACTCAGCCCTGGTGGCTGAGGGCAGCTCAGGAACTGCTTGTCCACTGTCAAGTTCCAAGGATGGCTTCCAGCTGAAAGGGCCGATTGTTTTTGCGTAATTCGCCAAAGAATGCAGTTGTGGGGAAGAGCTTCTAGGGCTGAGCAGCATGACCAGGCTCTGAGATCAGAAGGTCCTCAGCAGCCGCCTGCAGTTTAGGGGTCTCTGCGCAGCTCTTGGCCTTAGCTGGGGCCCGGTCCTACACTGTCCTGGCTTAGAAAAGGTTCCACGGGGGGGACTCAACACCATTGTCAGGTAGGGACTCTGGGCCGCAGCATGGGAGCCTGAGGCAGGGCGCAGGTGTGTCCCAGCCCGTGGCTGGGCCAAGCCGGGGACCAGGTGGTTCCACCAACCTCTCCTTGGAGCTTCTGGCCACTCTGGGGGGACGGGGTCATGTCTGTCACTCCATTGGACAGATGAGGAAAATTGGTTCAGGGACTGCGAGTTACCCCACAGCTGCTCAGCACGTGAATGGTAGCCCAGGCCTGGACCCCTCCATAGCCCGTGTGTACCACTCCCTGAGGGTCGGGCATCATCCATACAGCCCTCCCTGGGGGATAGGGCCTGAGGCACCTGCAGAGCTGGGTGTGTGGGAGCCCCTGGGGTGGGGGTGGGAGGTGATACTCCTATAGGGAGCCCCGAGCAGCGTCCTTGGTGCTGGTAAGTGACACTCAAGTTACTTAACGCTGGAACATTTGTCTTCACTGTGCCAATGGGTCAGCGTCAGGAGTAAGTAGCTAAGTCCTTGGGGCTCTTGCCCAGTTGTGTGGCCAAGCATCAGCTTGCCCCTGCGGGGATGGGGGTTCTGATTGAGCCTTGCCCTGAATACAGCTGTGCCCTCCCGGGCTGGCCTCCCCACAGCGGGCTTCAAGGACCCAGTGTCCCAAGGGCTGAAACCGACCCCTGGTGGCCTGGTGCAGGACCCTGCGGCTATTGAGAGGGTGGAGTGGGGGCGCCCCAGGGTGGCCAGTCACATTTCCACAAGTGTCTGCTTGTCTGGGATGTTCCTTCACATCAGCTCCCAGTCCCTGGGACACTAGGACTGTGGCTTCGCTCTCAGCCTCTTCTGCGTGTTTTTCAAGAAAGTCTTGGGAGGTTAAGGGAGGAACTGTTGAGAGGTCAGCCTAGCGAGTTTTCTTTGGATCCAGCTTGTCTACTGCAGCAGATGTCTCTCCAGGGAAGAGCTGGGGCCGAGGGATCTGCTCCAAGAGGGCCCAGAGCTTGGCTGTGACTATGGCTGTGGCTCCCTCCACGTGGCTTCCACTGAACTGACTTGGTTTCCCATCATGTGGGACTGGCCTCCCCAGCGCACACACTGGAAGCTGCCAGGCGTCCTTCAGGCCAGAAGTGACACCATGTCACTTCTGCCACATTCTCTTGGTCAAGCAAGACCTTGAGCCATTCCCAGTTCAAGGTTGCGGAGGGGGACTATAGGAGCCAGAATACTGGGATGCACGCATTGGAGGCCACCACAGTGGCCACTGACCACAGCCTGGGTATCCCGAGATCTGGACTCTGGAGTAGTCTGCGCTCCCCTCTGAGCCTCACAGCTTCATCCAAAAGTGAGGGGATTGGGCCTCTATCTACTAGGACCACATACTGTGGCTTCTGGCAAGGTCTCGATTCTGCCCAGTGCCTGGGATGGCCTCCCTAGCTTCTGTCTTCATTCTACCTGGCCTTGGCCTTCTGGGGCAGTAGGTGCTGTGGCAGAGGGAGGAGACACCCTTTTTGTCACCCCCCAATGGCTCATCTGGTGGACCCGCTGAGTGGCTATGTCCCTGCCCCAGTCCCAGCTGGAGCATTCAACACCTGCTCTCATCAGTCCTCCTACTAGGGCTGCTCTCTGGATGCTGCAACTCAGGCTCCCACCACCCAAGGCCACAGCCACACTTGCAACAACCTGAAAACTACCCAGGGACCAAAGTCTCCAGAATATGCTGTCCCAGGGACCTACAAAATGTCCAATTGTGAGACCAGGGTACAAGGGCAGGGAGGGGGCCCGAGGGATTATTCCCCTCCATCTGGAAGGAACCCAGCTGTCCAGGTGTCCATAGTGACTCCATGTGACTTCATCACATGTGATCTGCCAGGAGCCCCTGGTAGGGCCAGCTCAGCCCTATCCTGACCTGGGCTGCCAGGACTAGAAGTCAGCCACACAGTGAGGGGCATTGAGACAAACCCAGATCGTTCCATCCTGTCCCCCCTGGGCTGAGGTCTAGTGATGTAGAGCAGGGGGTTTCAACCAGAGTGATTCTGCCACCCCCTCCCCCAGGGGACATTGGACACTGTCCAGAGATACTTGGTTGTCACACTGGGAGACATCCTACAATGCACAGGACAGCAGCCACAACAGAAAGATCCAGACCCAAATGTCAACAGAGTCGAAGTACAGAGAAGTCCAAGCTGAGTGTGCCTGGAGTCCAGGCCAGCTGGAAGAAGGGCTGTGTCCATCCTGCGTGGAGGGACAGGGCAGCCAGGGGTCCCCATGGGGCAGTGAACTCAACCAAAGACTGAGTGAGCGGTGGCATGGGGTTCAGGCTAACATTTCCACCCAGGTTGAGAGTTGCTCTCTTCCCTGGTACTCTCCCTACACCTGGCCTGCTTCGTTTGTCCTCTGCTGCCTCGGCCAGAATGCCATGCCTTGCATTTAGGTCCATTGAGACATCGTCTATCCAGGAAGACTTCTGGGAGTCCCACCCAGAGGAGGATGTTCACTCCTCAACCAACACTGGGAGCGCCTTGGATCCTCCCTGGTATCAACCTGGAACTTTGCTCTCAACACAGATGGCAGGTGCTCTGAGAGGCTCTTTCTCTGCATTGACCTCACCATAGACAGACCCGGGGACAAGAAGGTGCAGGCCTTGGCTTTTATTGAAATTAGACCTGAGGGCTCCCTGGCCTCTTGGAGCGTAAATCTCCACTCAGCCTGGCCTCCCAGGTACAAGTGGCTGACCTGAGCTGGAGCAGGCTGCAAGGGCTTCTATTTTTTCTGTTCCTCCCGCAGGACTTTCTCCTCCCTCCCCGCCCTTGAGTGTTCTTCCTGAGGCTGGCCCAAGCTCTGGTGCTGGGCAGCTGCTGGGGTGTCTCAGTGTGGGGCGACTGCTGGTAGGGGCTGAGCCCTTCCTGTCTGGACCTGCCTCCTCCTCCTGAGCCATCCTTTTCTCTCCTGTCCCCAGCTGGGACAGCCAGGCTTGGTACTCAGATCCCTATGGTCTCTCCAGAGCCCCAGAGCGGGTTCTTTTGCACAAGGGACATGTGGACTCCTCTGAGGGCCCCCAGGACCTTTTGGGCCTGAGCCCCAAGACTTCAGAGGGACCAGGCTGGGAGAGGACACCCTTGGCTGGGTCCTTGCTGGAACTGGAAGCTGAGAAAAGTAGGGAGAAACAAGTCACTCGGAGGGACCCAAGTGGAGGCTGCCAGGCCATCCTATGAACCTAACCCCCAGAACCTGGCATTCTTCAAAGTAGGAAGGGAGGGGCAGTTCTCCTGAAAGAGAGCCCATGAGGGAGGGAGGAAAAGAAGGAAACAGATGGTTCAAGCTGGAAGGACCCTTGTCTAACGACCCCCTCATTTTATAAATGGGCACACTGAAGCTGGGGATGGCAGGGGTGATGGTGGGGAGCTGTCCAAGGTCCTTCATTGAGTGCAGAGCTGGGACAGGAATCCCGGAATACTGGGAGTGAAGAAGGGCCCATCTTGGTCCATCTGAGTCCCCAGCCAACCCTTCCCTGAGTCGTTCCCTCTTGTCCCCAGCCCTGCCTCACCTGGACACGTGCTCACCTGTATTTCCCAGGATGTCCCTGGGCACTGGAGCTTCCAGAAGGGCTGAGCGGTGGCTGTTACCTGGGCCCAGAGTCCCCTGTGGAAGGTCTAGGGGCCAGGCCATGCCCTCAGGCCATGGGAGGCAGCCCCTGGCCATGAGCTGGCCCAACCAGTGGCTCTCACACTGGCCAGCAGCCTGCATGTGGCCCGGCAGGTAGAGAGCCAGGCCCCGGAGGTGGCGCAGACGGAAGTTCTTGGGCTTGCTTCCCTGGGCGCTGGGGCACTGCTGCTGCTGGGCCCCCAGCCCCCCCTCGTAGATGTTGGGTGGTGTGTCAGGGTGGCTGGGATGTCCTCGGGCCCAGCTCACTGCATCTGCAGAGGGGAGAGCAGGAGGGTGGCGGTTGGCAGGCCGCAGCAGCCAAGAAAGAAGAACATAGTCACATGCTTTAAGACCAGCTCGTGTGATGGGCTCCACCTGTGGCTTTCTGAGCCTTGGCCTACCTTTCCATCAAATGGGCTCAGTCCCCTGCCTCCTACCAACCCCCACCCAACATATTACTCCTCTTCCCTTTCCCAACCAACAGGAAGGTCTGAGAAGCCTGAGATCGTGACACAAAGATCTCTTTCAGGATTTCAAGCCCTTTCTACCACCTCTTTTTGCCCCCTACCCTAGAAAGAGCATTCCGGTGTCAGTATAGAAATTGCACAGTGGGTCCAGGATCACACAGTCCAGGGTCACACAGCCTAGACCAGTGGTCATTCCCCTCTCCCAAGCATGCACGTCCCTGAGGCCACTCTGGTGGCTTTGGGCCCAGGTCAGGATAGGAGGGCATTTCTCCTGCCACTCCTCCTTGCAGCCTGGCACCTTCTCTTATGCGCAGCTCAGAGAACGCACAGACCAAGGCTTCCATGGAGGGCCAACGTGGTGGGGGAGGAGCGGCTGGGCCTCCTGTGCCGCAGGGCTCTACTCTCCCCTGCCTGGGTCTGCAGGTCTCCCATGGCAACTAGCTCTGTGATGTCAAACGGAAGACTCCCAGCCTTCCTGGATCCCCAACTTTGGGAGGGGATGATGCCCAGGGCTGGGCAGGGGGGTAGAGGGCAAGGGAAGGGGATGGAACCCGAGGGGAGGTCCCTGATCCTCTGGCTTGGGACAGGCCACACAAAACAGACTCAGCTCTTGCAGGCTGGAAAGTCACTTCCTGGGTGACCTCTTGGGGTCTCAGTTTGCTCCTGCGTGGGTGGGAAATGAGGCTTTAGGGACACAGACTTGTGAGATCTGAGCCAGTGCTTTGAACCTGCTGAGAAGGTGGTTCTGGGTGGCTGAGCAAGTCATTTAATTTTTCTAAAATAGCACTGTCCATTGCCCTATAAGTAGGTAATGGGGTATGATGTGGGTCGTACCAAGTATAAGGATGTGGAAGAACTGGAGCTCTCATGTACTGCTGAGGGGAATGTAAAGTGGTACCACTGCATTGGGAGACAGTTTTTGCAAAAGTTAAACTTTCACCTCTCCTCATTCACAGATGGCAGGCTCTCATATAGGGAAAACATTAATTCACATGTAAAAACAAAACCTATTTGAGCTGATAAAAACCAGTAGAGATAAAAAGGTTCAGCTCATTAGATACAGGACATAAGATCAACACACAAAAACTAATTGTATTTTTATATACTAGCAGAGAACAACAACAACAACAACAAAAAACAGGAGTAAATTTAAGGAGGTACAAAACAACACTGAAAACTACAAAACTTACAGAAATAACTAAAATACTCCCCCCCAAAAAAATCCTTGTTCATGGATTGAAGGCTTAACATTGTTAAGAAAGCAACACTCCCCAAAATGATCTACAAATTCAATGCAATCCATATCAGAATCTCAATAGCCTTTTAGACAGAAACAGGAAAGCTGATCTTAAAATTCATGTGGAATTACAAGCCAAATAACCAAAAACAATCTTAGAAAAAGTTTGAAGACTCCTTTTCCCTGATTACAAAACTTACTATAATGCTACAATAACCAAAACAGTATGGAAGGGGTATACAGCTAGACATCTCAACCAATGTAATAGAAAAGAGAGTCCAGAAATAGAGTCGTGCATCTTTGGTCAATTGATTTTCTACAAGGGTACCAAGACCATAAATGGGGTAAAAATAGTCCCTTCAACAAGTGGTGCTGGGACAACTGGATAGCCACACGCAAAAGAATGAAATCAGACCCCTACCTCACACCATATACAAACATTAACTCAAAATACAACAAAGGCCTAAATGTAGGAGCTAAAACTATAAAACTATTTAAAGAAAACATAGGGGTAAATCTTCATGACCCTGGATTTGGCAGTGGTTTCTTAGATATGGTAACAGAAGCACAAGCAACAAAAGAAAAAATAGATAAATTGGACCTCATCAAAATTGAAAATTTGTGTGCTGTGAAAGACATTATCAAGATGTGAAAAGACAGCCTACAGAATGGGAGAAAGTATTTGTAAATTATATATCTGATAAGTACAGTGTCCAGAATATATAAAGGACACCTATAAACTCAACAAAAAGGCAACCCAATTTATTTATTTATTTATTTTAAAGATTTTATTTATTTGACACAGAGAGAGAGACAGCTAGAGAGGGAACACAAGCAGGGGGAGCGGGAGAGGGAGAAGCAGGCTTCCCACCGAGCAGGCAGCCGGATGCGGGGCTCGATCCTAGGACCCTGGGATCACAACTTGAGCCGAAGGCAGATGCTTAACGCCTGAGCCACCCAGGTGCCCCAAGGCAACCCAATTTAAAAATGAATGAAAAACTTGAATAAACATTTCACCAAAAAAGATATACAAATGGTTAACAAGTACATGAAATGATGTTCAACATCGTTAGTCATTAGGGAAATAAAAAAATTTTTTTTAAAGATTTATTTGAGAGAGAGAGAATGAGAGAGAGAGAAAGCACATGAGAGGGGGAAGGGTCAGAGGGAGAAGCAGACTCCCTGCTGAGCAGAGAACCCGATGCAGGACTCGATCCAGACACTCCAGGATCATAACCTGAGCGGAAGGCAGTCGCTTAACCAACTGAGCCACCCAGGCGCCCCGGGAAATACAAATTTAAACCACAGTGAGATACTACTTCACTCGCACAAGGATGGCTATTAAAAGAAAAAAGGAAAATGACAAGTATTAATGAAAATGTGGAGAAATTGGAACTCTTGGACATGGTGCAGCCACTGTGGAAAACAGTCTGGCAGTTCCCCACTAGTTACAGACAGAATTACCATATGACACAGTAATTTCACTCCCACCTATATCCCAAAGAATTGAGAACAGGTATTTTTTTTTTTTAAGATTTTATTTATTTATTTGAGGGAGAGCATATGCAGGGGGAGCGGCAGGCAGAGGGAGGGACAAGCAGACTCCCCGCTGAGCAGGGAGCCTGACATGGGGCTTGATCCCAGGACCCTGGGGTCATGACCCAAGCTGAAGGCAGACAGCCAACTGACTGAGCCAGGTGCCCCAGTATGATTCCATTTATATAAAACTCTAGAAATATGCAAATCTACAGTGACAGAAAGCAGAGCAATGTTCCCCTGGAGTAGGAGGAGTGGGGCACAAAAAACCAGGGGTGAAGATTTGTTCTCTGTCTTGATTCTAGTTTCTTGCATGTGTATACTTATCAAAATGTATTAAATTGCACGCTTTAAATATGTGCATTTTTTGTATGTCAATAAAACTGTTAAAAAATTAAGATCCGGGGCGCCCAGCTGGCTCAAGTCAGGAGAGCATGCGGCTCTTGATCTCAGGATTGTGAGTTCCAGCACCACGCTGGGTGCAGAGATTACTTTAATTAATTAATTAATTAATTAACTTAAAAAAATTGAAAACCAAGGGAGGAGGCTCTGACTCCCAAGTGCTTCGTTTGTGCTCTGCCAACTATAGCGGATGCTGAGTACAGTTGATGAGGGAGCAGAAGGCAAGCTGAGGATAGAGCACAAGCTGACACCCCTCAAACCTACCCCCTTCCCCAGGTGGGATACGTGTGACATTCCTCAGGCACCCCTGTCTGCCCTAAAGCTAAGGGAAGGAAAAAACAAATGGAGATTATAATCCTGCAAGACATGAGTCTTCCTCAATTTACAAATGTTTTAGTGATTTACAAGAAAAAAAGCATTCATATCAATAACCTGATATGCCTTGCTAGAGGGAAAAACAACCTTGACAATAGCCAGGCCTCCAGTATCTTGTAGGTCTTCATAAAACATATGAAAGTCCTTTTGGACACCTCCCTTTTCCTTACTTCCCCCAACTCCCAAGTATATAATCAGTCACCCCTCACAACCTCAGTGCAGCAGCTCTTTCTGCCCACAGGTCCGTCCCATTCTTTAATAAAACCACCGTTTTGCACCAAAGACATCTAAAGAATTTTTTCTTGGTCGTGGGCTCTGAATCTCACCCCACCAACCTCACCTATATTCCAAAACTACATCACAGTACGGATCAGCGGACTGCTACCCTTTAGGGACAGTGTTCAGAGTTTGCCCTAACTTAAAGCAGAACTGGTGGGCTTTCCAGTGCCTATTGTGAGCACACAAGTCTGGAGCTAACCAGCACCTGGCCTACAGCCAGACCAGAACTGGGCATCACAGCCAGCACGGAGCATGGGGGTGGGGTGGGAGGGCAGGAAACAGACTGTATGGCCTTTCCTCAAAGACCTTTCACCAAAGCGAGGCGACTTCATTCATTCAGCCAGTCAGGTATTAAACAAATACGTTCTGAGGACCTACGGAGTGCCAAATACTATTACTAATACTTGGGGAGAGTCCAGAGTGGGGCAGAATAGGTATCTGCTTTCATGGAGCTTACCTGTCCAGACCAGAGACACAGAAGACAAGCAAACGAGCTGTTTCCAGATCACACTGTGAAGAAAATAAAACAGGGTAATGTGACAGGCAGGGGCTGGAAATATCCGCTTTGGTGTAGGCAGTCCAGAGACCTCTTCACAAAGATCTGAAGAAGCTGGGAAGAGCACTGCAGGCCAAGGGAACTGCGTGTGCAAAGGTCTGAGGCAAGAAAATGGTGGGCATGTTTCAGGGAAAGCAAGCCAGAGCAGATGGAGGGAAGGGAGTAAGAAAAACAGACACAGCTAAGGGGTTTGAGTTTTACTTGAACTGCAATGGGAAGCCATTGAATAGTTTTGATTTTTTAAGGCCTTTTTTGTTTTTAGTCATACTTACTGAGATACAATTTCAGATATGGTAAAATTGAGGGTTTTTTTTAATGCCTAGTTCTATGTTTTGAGAAACACCTACCATCATGTAGTTAGCACCGTGATCAAGTTATAGAACAGTTCCATCACCCCAAAAAATTCTTTTGCACCTAACTCCTCCTGGCAACCACTGACTTGTTTTTTGTCTTTATATTCTCATCGTATCCAGATTGTCATATGAATGGAATTATACAGTACGTAGCCTTTGGAGTCTGGCTTCTTCCACTTAGCATAACGCTTTGGCCTTTCATCATTGTTCTGTATATCAGCAGTTTGTTTCTTTTTTATTGCTGAGTGGTAATCCATTATATGGATATACCACAATTTCCTTATCCATTCATAAATCGAGGGCCACTTGAATGGTTTCAAGTTTTGGGAGATTATGAATAAAGCTGCTATTTGTGTACAGGCTTTTGTGTGAAACCGAGTTTTTGTTTCTCTTGGGCAAATACTTAGGAGTGGGATTGCTGAGCCATATGTAAAATGTATATTAAATTTTATAAAAAATTACCAGTTTTCAAAGGGGCTGCACTGTTTTACATTCTCACCAATGATGTACAAAAGTTCAAATTGCTCCACATCCTTTCAAACCCTTGGCACTGTAAGGGTCTTTGTTGTTGTTTGTTGCTTTAACCATTTTAATAACTGCCTAGTGATACCTCATTGTGTTTAATATGCATTTCCCTAGGGCGCCTGGGTGGCTCAGTCGTTAAGCGTCTGCCTTCGGCTCAGGTCATGATCCC